TCAGAGTCTTACTAAACAAAGCTTACATGTAACATCAAATTAAGTGCCCTACAGGCTTACATTTTCCAAGCCAACACTGGACAAAAGTATGAGTTCTAACTCAATTACAATTAAAGCCCTAGGCTTGAGTGTTTACATGTACTAACAACCAAAGCAAACAACTAAAAATAGTCTTCAGAATCCAAGTCCTTCAAAGCTAAGTCCTTGGAGGTAGCTTATCACCTGAACCTGAAAATGATGTTCCCATAAAGGGTGAGCCACAGCCCAGCAGAAATATACTACAACCACATATAAGAAATGAATTAAAGCAATAGCATTCACAGATGGTTAACCAAGATAATCAATTACTTCATTTTACAGTCTCATGACACTATTGTCTAAGACACGTTTTAATTTCCAATTTTATCAACATGGCTCAGAACCTGGCCAAACTTACAACAGTGAATTAATATTATCATATTCACATTCTTCCAATATCAACAAACAAATGAGACTCAAGCTCAAATCAAACACTTCATACTTCCAGATTGATACACATTTAGTGCTGTATCAATAAAACACTTCTATATAAATAAGCACACTAAAAGTGATGCTAATAGAGTCCATCCCCTATCTCCTCCCAAACAAAATCCGGTTTAGAGGTTCCATCCCCATCTTTCCCTAAACCGTGGAGTACATCCCCTATCTCCTCCCACACAAAACAATATAAATGCAAATGCAAATGCATGCTCAATCAATACACGTATTTTTGTATCAATGCAATAGTCAAAATTAATGACTTAACCAATGTGATTAGTTTCAGTTATTCCTAATCCACATGCAATGTCTACAACAATCAGACTATCCTCCATCGATAGCCAAAACAGTTATTTCTAAACTGAAAATAACTATGTTAACAATTCATAGACAAATGATTCAAATTATCCAACTATGCCATTTAATCAATGAATTCCCCAATTCCATGAATTTAACCATCTTTTCCCAATTCCAAGAATAAATTACAGATTAATTTAATAATACATCTAGGGTTTTTCCCAAAATTACCAAAGTATCCCCAACATATCAAAATACAAAACTTAGATCAGAACTCATAAATGGAGTAGGAAATCCCTACCTCGAAGAGAACAACCCAAATGGAGAAGACAGAGATGATACCCAAAAACCAAAGTGCTCCAAATCGCCAAATGTTCAGATTAAATGGAAGCCCTCGACTCACTCTTATCTTTTAATAAAGCAACTGGGTAGAAACACACTCTAAACAGATCAAACCTAAGAGAGAGGTGAGTAGAGAGAGAGAGAAGAGTGGACCTAGGGGGTTGGAATCAAAATAAGATGAAAAAAACTGATCAAATCCCGCTGCTGTGTATATAAACTGGACAGGCTCGCTCGGCGAAGACATGGTCGCTCGAGCGACAGACACAAAGAAACTACGCTCGAGCAAGGAAACCTTGCTCGAGCCAACAACCCAAAAGCTCGCTCGAGCGAAAAAAAGCTCGATCGAGCGAAAAACTCAAACCCTCAGGTCTGTAACCAGACACACGCTCGAGCGAAGGAAACTATGGCTCGAGCGAAGAGCGAACTAACTCGCTCGAGTGAAGAAAATCTCGCTCGAGCCAAGAATGCACAGCTACAGGTCCAAATCAAAACGCAACCACTAGCTCGAGCGAACAACTCCTCGCTCGAGTGAAGAACCAAAAACCTGGCAGCAACACTTGGTTTCTAAACCCAACCAACCTGAAACAAACCTGCCCAACACACCCTATAATTCCAAATGAGAAAATAAAGGACAACAACAACAATTATACAATGACAGAATCTACGGAACCTAAGTCCGTGATACATAATCAAGTGGGAAAAGACCGGGGTCGCTATAATATGTATCTAAATTTGGATATGGGTACGGGTACGTTAAATAATTTTTAAAAAAATATATATATTTATTATATGAAGATGAGTTATATTATATAAATAACAAATAAAATACTATGGAGATGAGTTTATTATTATATATATATTTTTTTAAAAAATATATATATTTTTTATAAATATTTTTATTTTAATATACATTAATTATTTAATTTGCTTATTATATTTTTTAAACAATGTGTTCTAATTAATTTTTTTATTTTATGTTACATACATGTGTTTATTTTTTTTTATTAATATATATAAGTATATATTATCTTATAAATATATTATATGTTATATAATAATTATTATATAATATATAATAATATTTATTATTATAGTTATTAATTAATTATTATAGTTATTAACTATTAATAGTTTATAGTTGTTATAATAATAGATATAGATAGATACGAATAGATAGACAGAGGAGTCAGGAAGAAGATAAACGATAGAGAGAGGGAGAGGGAGAGGGAGAAAGGCGAAGCGATCGTGATCACGATCGCGAGGGAGAGAGAGAAAGCGAGAGAGAGAGAGACCGGATGGAGGTTCGATCGACTGATGGAGCTTCGATCTTCGACTGGATCGACCGGATAGAGCTTCGACTGGAGGTCTTCGATCTTTGACTGGATGGAGCTTCGACCAGGTTTCTTGCTCTCTCCTCTTTCATTTCTTTTGCTTTCTGTGACGAGCCATGTTCGAGAGAGAACAGACAAATCCGACACAGATCCCACACCCACACCCGTGTCGTGTCGTGTCGATACAGGTACTTCACCTCAAAGTGACGAGTCCATGTAACATAGGATAGAATATTATTAGCCAAAATAGTTAAACTGCAAAACAGGATGTGTTTTGTGTTTTTAATTTTTTTGAGGTCAAGTTTTTGCTTAGTTTGGTTGAGTGTATTTTTGTCGTACCTTTTTATGCAGTGGACATGATTAAACCTGATGCCACTATAATTCTACGCAATGCAAAGATCGACATGTTTAAAGGTTGAATGAGGCTTGCGGTGGACAAGTGGGGTCGTGTGGAAGTAACTGAACCGGCAAGCTTCATCGTTAAAGAGGATAATAACCTGTCATTGGTTGAATATGAACTAGTCAATGTGGTGGAAGAGTGACTCGTGCAAATGTAATGTCTGCTACTACTCGAGGGCCAAAACAAGTGAATCAGGCTTAGTTTGGTTGAGTGTATTTTTGTCTTACCTTTTTATGCAGTGGACATGATGAAACCTGATGCCACTATAATTCTACGCAATGCAAAGATCGACATGTTTAAAGGTTCAATGAGGCTTGCGGTGGACAAGTGGGGTCGTGTGGAAGTAACTGAACCGGCAAGCTTCATCGTTAAAGAGGATAATAACCTGTCATTGGTTGAATATGAACTAGTCAATGTGGTGGAAGAGTGGCTCGTGCAAATGTAATGTCTGCTACTACTCGAGGGCCAAAACAAGTGAATCAGGCTAAGATGTGGATTTTGTGGTTTATGAGATTGGCAAAGTAATATTTAAGTTGTTTACCAGGTAATCCTGTTTCCAACACGCGTGGAAAAGTTCTTTGTTCAGGAAGAAAAATCATCAAAGTAATGTCTACAAGAAAGTCAGATTGTCCCTTGGTGGCTGTCAAGGCACAGCTGATGAAGCAAATTAGAATCCTAGCCCTACTGGTGATCACAATCGGATGAGATAAAAGGAACTTGCTTTGGTTGTTTATTTATGTTTTAAGACATGGATTGCTCATATTGTGCGAGCACAGTTCCTAAAGTGTTATGGTTTTATGTTGAGTTTTCTCTTAATGAAAGGGTGTGTCTTTGTTTTGTGATTATGTGTTTATTTTGTTGGATGTTTGGCAACCGCTTTTAGTACGTATATGTACGTGATTCGATTCATGATCAGTGGAATTTCACTTGGTTTGAGGACTGTGGTTCTCAATATAGTTGTTTATTTACACTTTTTTATGGCATTAAGAACATAATTTATCCCAACCTAACGAGGCAAGCTCATGCATGATAAGTTGAATTTCACTTCGATTCATTTGCTTTCTCACGTTATTCTTGCAGATTTTGAAGGGGATTATTATTAGCATTTATTTTTAATTTTTGATATTAAAGAATGTTTTATAGAAAAACAAAGTACAAATAGAACTTCTCATTTTGAATCTTATCCAATATTTTTGTTAATGTTTCACTCTGGACAATGAATGCAGAATGTTGTAACGAGAGAAGATACTTTTTCAAGTGCTGGTAAGGCTATCCAATATTAATAAATTGATTTTGTATGTATTTTATTTTTCTTAAAGGGTGCATAAAAGGATGAGGGGAATTTGAGGTAATTAACAAATGAGAAAAATAATTTTTTTTTATTAAAATTATTATTATTATTATGAAATGCAAAGTGAGACACATGCCCCTAATACTCTCTTACATCTCCTATAATTTGTAATTAATAATTACCCTGATTATTTTATTTGAAATATTTACTAACATAGATCCTATGGACTTAAATTAACTCATAAATTCTGAATTAAATTATTTTTAATTTTTAATTTTTTTTATACATATTTGTCCATTGTTTTGATAATGAGAAATTTTAATTTTTTTAATATATATATATGTTTTACAGTAGCTGAAAACATAAGGAAATTTTATATAAAAATGATTCGTTTACCGAATTTGTCTGAATTGTCTAAATTACATAAGTCGGATGTCTAGTCAGATGATTGTTCGGACAATTAACGTCATCTTTGTCAATCACGATTGTCACCATTGTTTATCGATGTGTCAATTAATATCTGCTCGATGACCGACATCCTGCCAGATGATTCGGTCGGACGATTGACATATATAAATTCAAACAATTCGGATGAACTCAAATTTAGCATCTTCTAGGGTAACAGTAACATGCGGATAAACATCAAAATAAACTAGCCCTTGAGACAAACTAGTCTCAACCATTCCCATAAGGGAATCCTGCCAATCTAAACATCTCCGGTATCTCAAACTGAGAGTCAAACAGGTATTCTTTCCCATAAGAGTCATGGGGGTTAAAGCTATTTGGACAAGCCCAATATGAATATAAACATTTTTTTTTTTTTTAATATGGAAGCAAATCTATGACTTTAAAAAGATTATGACTTTCATCATCATCTTCTAAACAGATGTTAGATTCTACGATCTTGATGATTGTTTTTTATTTAAAATCAAAAGTTCATATTTTATAAACATGTTTTGGAGCCACCTTGGGGATGGTCCATTTATCTAGTTTTTCCTGAATTTCTTCCAAACTCTAGAGTGTGTTTGTTTTGAGGGATTATTTTATGGGATTGAACTATTCGTTCATTCGGACTAATAGTCCATTGTTTGGTTCAATTTTTTTGTTCTGGATTAATAGTCCTTCCGGACTACTAGTCCCTCATATGAGGGATAATTGTATCTTAGGAGGAGGGGTGAGATTATTTCCAAGGGATTAGTATCCCATGGGACTAATGTGTAAAATGTCCATTTTACTCTTATGCTATTACTTAATAAGCAATTGAAAAATGGTAAAATAGTCTTTTGAACATTTATAAATTATTTTTTTAGTATTGTTAATTTAAAATTATATATTAAATAAAAAAAATAAATTATAAATTATAGATTTAATTTAATTAAAAATGATAAAATAAAAATTATGGCCTTATAATTTTTTTAGTGTTGTTAAAAAATTAAATTTATATATTAAATAAAATTATTTTTTTAGTGTTGTTAATTTAAAATTATATATTAAATAGAAATTATAAATTATAAATTTAATTTAATTGAAAATAATAAATTAAAAATTATGGCCTTATAAATTAAAAATTTTTAGTGTTGTTAAATTATGAATTATAAATTATAGATTACAAATTTAAAATTATATATTAAATAAAAATTATAAATTACAAGAGTAAAATAGTCTTTTGAACATTTATCCTTATCCAGTCCATCTAATCAAACATTGGATTCACTAAAAATAGTCCAATCCAAACATCTAATCTCATGATTAAACAAACATAGGATACAAATCCAGTCCAACCAAGTCTGGGAACAATGTATCCGATGATTAATAGTCCGATAGATTACAATCTCCCCTTATCCAGTCCGTCAAAACAAACACACCCATATAGTTCAACATTACTGGCTAATCCAAATGGTCTTGCTATAGGTACGAGTTATAATTCTCCTACATTTGGGGCAAATTCTGTAATCTCGTTACTCATTATTTCCTCTATGATCATATATGTTTAATTTGTTACTATTATACCATTCATACAAATAGTAGTAAACATGGTTTTGAGACCAATTAGGTGTGCTAACTATAACTTTGCAAGCACTTCTGTCAATAACTTATAGGAGATACATGCCTAATAGGAATTTAATCCAAAAATTGCAAAACCCCAAATGTAACTTAGGTGACATCTCACTTACAAATTTATAATTCATGTCCCTAATTAGTACAATCCAGGAATATTACTGTTCATATGAACATTATAATAATCACAAATTAATACATATATATAATCTCATGAAAAAATGATTACTGCAGAGGAGGGGGTTCTTGGCTAAGAGCCAAACAGATAATCTCTTCTTGCAGAGATTATTCTGTCTAAGTTATTATAGTTGATTTAATTCAATAATCCATTCTTGCACAGTAAGAATATGTTGTAAAGGTAATAAAGTAGCTAATCTTTCTTTATGCCAATCTAACATTTCATGTAATTCAGATAAAATATTTGTAGACATAAAACATTATAAATACTTACAATGCAGTTGTAGACTCAAAACGTAATAGTTGCTCCACGCATAACTTAGATATCATAAAACTTGGGAATTTTTACAAGAGAGGAGGAATTCAGATAAAATATTTGTAGACATAAAACATTATAAATACTTACAATGCAGTTGTAGACTCAAAACGTAATAGTTGCTCCACGCATAACTTAGATATCATAAAACTTGGGAATTTTTACAAGAGAGGAGGAATGAAGAAAAAAAAATACAAAAGAAAACTTGTGTCTCAACAAGGATGAGACTTGCCCTTAAACAGCCATGCTTGGCTTATCCTGAAAATAATTGAAGACAGGTGGCGTGTCCTTGATTGACTAGAGTCGGATATCCTTATCTTCAATTCTTATCTTCTGCTGAGTGGAGCTAGCATAACTTTAATAATATAGATACCTTTTGGAAAATACAGATAGACAGTTGGCCTGTTCTTTTGTTGATGGCTACGGCTAGTGAATAGAATAGTTATTGATTAGACATCTTTAGCTTTTTCTTTTCTTTTGCGAGCTAGGTCGCGATCCACTTTTTTGACAATTATGTCAGTAAAGGAATCCCAAAAATCACTAAGGGTTCCAATATCATCATCAGGCTCTTGAGATTCTCCTGCAAGAACTAAGTACACATTGTTGTGCTCATCATCATCCTTATCCTGACTTGTGACTGAGATCATAGAGACATCATCTCAAGTTTTGGTTTCCACGGATTGTAAAAATTGTTGTTTCATATATTCCATGCATTTACTCATTAAATCCTTATTAGAAATTTCTGGAAATTGTTTCCTAAGCTCAGATTGAATTCAAATGAAGGGATTTCCACCAGTATTTTCAGAAATTTGTAGTTTTGGAATTGAATTCTGTCAAGCTTTTTTGTATTAAGTTTAATTTGTTCAATTATTCCGGGTTGAAGCATCAAGAGTCTTCTATCACTTAAAAAAGAAATTCTTTTTAATCGGGGAAGTTTATTTTGAAAATCACATGCAAGATCTCACCTCCAAATCTAAGGGAGACCAAAGTGGATCATAAAAACGGCAAAGGATTTGGACATAGAAATGTGCTGATTACCGGGTGTGGCCTGAAAAGTAGTGACAAAAGAATTAAAAGGGATACAGAGTGGTTTGGGTAAAATTAAGAGAGTATGTCCAAACGTATCCCACCAGACGAAAAACCAGTTGGGAAGACCAGTTTGATAAGTTTGGGAACAAACTTTAATAAACCATGAATGAGTACAGGTAGGATTCATATAGTAGAAAGCTTTGGTAAATGCTTCGGCATAATTCTAATAATTATATTTTTGTTCATGAAGGGAAAACGTTCGGGACTAATTAGGATTCAAAGCCAATTTTTTAGGTTTCATAATGTGTTTAATGACGGCCTTGCTATATTTAATAGCGCTCTTCGAGTTTTTCTCCTGAGAATAATTTTGAGTAAAATCTACAAAAGCAGTATCTTTGAGCATTGTTTCATATATGTAGCGATACTGATAAAAATGTGGCATAAAATTCTGATTATGGAGATATCGATCCTTTATTTCCCAATCCATATTTTCTAGATATAAAATTGTTTCTTTGTGGGGACTATTCTGATATAGTTCGAACTCATCTGTTAATAAAGCATTTTTATGAGCCTTCCTATACGGTGTGTGAAAATGAAGTATTCTTATTATTCAAAATAATAATCCATGGGAATTCGGTGAGATTCGGATAAATAGTATCATGGGCATAAGGAGTTGATCCTCTGCCCTGGCCACAGTTGTGGCCTCTAGCTAGGCGGCTCATTGGAGGATCCCTGCAAATATTCACGGGTTAGAAAATCAGGAAGACAATTATGTTCCCCTTTAATATATTCAATATCAAAGTCAAACGCAGATAATTGACTCTGCCAATTAGCAAAAATTTATTTATGAGAAAGATTTTCAACATCTTTCTTAAAAATTTATTTTGATGCACTGCAGCCAACACGAATGATAAAGTGTTGATTGAGTAAATCATCTTGAAATTTGGTAACACATTTAACAATAGAAAAGCATTATTTTTTAATTCTCGGGTAATTTCAAGATGCATTTTTCCATGCGCCAGAATTAAATCTAATTAATTCTTTTTTTAAAGTATGCGAATTCTACTGTTTAAGAATTCCTCCATAATCCTTGTTAGAGGCATCTATTTCAGCAATCTTTTTCCAATTAGGGTTAGGAATAGCTAACAAGATAATTGTTTAACTCTTAATTTAATCTTCTGAACAACTTTAGTATGCTTAGATGACCATGGTTCGGGATTTTTTTTTAACCTCACATAAATAATGACAGCATCAATAGCTAAATTCTAACAATAGTCTACAATTTAATTTAAACAACCAAGGAAACATTGTAATTGAATTTTATCATTGATTTCATTTGAAAATTTATCTACAAACTCAATACTGCATTCAATAGGAATGATTGTGCCATTATAAATATTGCAGCCAAGAAATCTAACTTTTGTTTGAAAAAATTTCATTTTTGGTGCTAAAACAACAAGTCCATCTTTAATAATAACATTCTTAAAAATATTGAGATGTTTAATATGCTAGTCAATGGATGAAGAATATTAAAGAATATCATCTATATAACATATAGTAAATTCAGAATAAGGTATAAAAAATATCATTCATAATATTCTGAAATTCTGATGGAGCGTTTTTTCAACCGAATGGCATAACATTCCATTCATAGTGTCCAAAAGGTATAGTGAAAGTAGTTTTGTACCGATCTTGTTCAGCAATTTGTATTTCCTAGTATCTTGATTTGAGATCAAATTGGAAAAAAGGATAGCATTCTGGCTATCTAATAGATATATATATTTTTTTAATTGGGAATATGATATCTAATCCATTTAAGAGCATCATTTAGAGGTTTATAGTTAATAACAAGTCTAGGAACTCCTCGTTCCTTTTCAGCATTTTTATTAACATAGAAAGCAGTACAACTCCATGGAGAATAACTTTTTAGGATTAACTTCTTTTGAGAAGAGTAGAAATTTTGATTTTACATAATTCCATATATTCCTTTTTCATTTGAGTTGGTCTAGCTTTAGTTGGAATATATTTTTCATTAAAATCGGGTTCATAGGGAGGAGTGACAATGTGTTTCTTTCTATCCCAAAAAGCATTAGGAATGGCACTACAAATTTCTGATTGAAATTCGGATGCAATCATTTTGATTTTATTCTATAAAGAAGATTTTTGAAGTTTTTGTTCTATACTAAGGAAAGATATTTCTTTTTGCAGAAAATTCAGTAGTTTTTCTTTAAAGACAACTAAATCTTTTATTTGATCTAGTTCTTTAGTATATGGTTCAGTTATAAATTCAAAAACAATTCAAAAACAATGTGTTGATTATGGATAGTTGTATGGATGCCTTCAGAATCAATTTTTTCAATAGGCCTAGGCCTAAGTAAACACAAAAATGGTGTTCTTAGAATCAAAGTTTGAGACATAACCTGATAAGAACAATGAGGTTAAAAGACAAATACCTTGATTACAGATAAGAACTTCGAATAATTTATACTTGATTATCATTTCGGTTCCATTAGCACTTGTTAGCGATTGAATGGTTTTTTCAAAATATTCGGAAGGTATTAGACCTTCTTGAATGCAGTTCATGTCAACCCCACTGTCTATTAGGGCTATTGCATCTTTCATAATAAATCTGTTATCAATAACAAGGGTAATTTTTATATACCATTTATGATATGTTATTTGATTTAATAACATAAGGTACTGATTTTCAGAAGTAGAATCTCTAGGCACTTCAATTTTTGCTTTATTTTTGTATTGATCAGATATACTAGATAAATTCACAATATTGCAGTTGTCTAACAGTTTTACAAGGGTAGCACAATTGCACAGGTTGCTAGGATCATGTATTTGATGAGTTATAATATACATTTCGCAAGAATGTGACTTGATTTTGATTACAATTTTGCCATCCAAAATTGATACATTTTGAAGTTAAGCTTTCAGAGAACTTCTCAGAAACCCAAGTTGGTTTGTGTCTTTTTCACTTAAAACAGTAGTTTGCTTATAATTTCCTACTTGAACTAACTTTAAAATTTTTAGGGTAAATTATGGACAAGTAGGTGGTAAATGTCTTGTTTTGAACACCTCTGTATCCCAGAGTATTTTGAATCTGTGACACATTGTTGTGATTTTCCAAGCAATGAGCTTGTGATTGGATGCTCTTTTGAGGTTGTGAGTTTCTTTAGAATGAATGGACGCAATGCAATGATGGATGAGAGCTTTGATAACTTGATAATAAAAATATTCCTTGAAATTGATGTCATGAAAGCATTTAGTTGTATAGCATCAACTGAAGAATTTGTATTATATTGTGGCAAGTGATCTTTGGAAATACTCTTCTTTCTCATAATATGGCATTCAACACTTCTAGTTATTGACTATTTTATGGAATCCAATACTGCGATTCTTTGGCATAAGAGATCAAATCTTCTCAGTTTCTTTCATGTGCTTCAACTTATTTGATCTTCTTGAAGACCCTTTAGGTCTGTTTTAAAATAAAATTATGGATTTAAGAAACATGATCACATTTACCTTGTTTCTTTTCTCTTTTCTCTTTTTTATTTTGCCTTTAACCGACTACTGAATTCATCTTTCATTTAGTCATCTCTTTATATTTCCAATCTGATTACAACATGTGTTCAATTTCTCACATCATCTAATTTTAGGTTTGTCAGATACTCGGGTCCTACAATTCATTTTGTTGATGAACATTACGACACAGGGCGTATCCTTGTTCAAAGAGTTGTACTGTACTCGCTAATGATACTGCACATAAGCTGGTTGCAAGGGGTTCTTGAGAAGGTCTTAAGTTGTTATTGCTCTTGTTTCCGTTTTAGTTTTCCTATATGATACCGATGGGTACCCAAAACCCACGAGGGTTGGGCCCAACCCACGAATCAAGGCCCAGTCCACATTCTTGCGATCAAAGCCAAATAACATCAATATTAGGCCAGGACCAATAACATCCAAACACTTGCCAAACAAGGGCCTAGACACATAAGCAGACAAAGATCTTGCAAAGTTATTGCACCACACATCAGCCATTGATGAGGCTCTTACAGCATTAAATGCGACAACCTCCTAACGTCGAAATATACAGACTCACCATGAACAATGCAAGCTAGAACATAGACTTTCGGCCAAAACGACATGCTGGAATGGACAAGGAAATGATGAGTAAAGGATATAAGGAAGTTTCGGAGTGTAGACACCCCAATTTTGACCGGCCCTAAGA